CGACGGTCTCTGTCTCGGTCTGCATTAATCCAGGCTTTGTTCTGTTTTGTCTGTATGAGGAAATGGCTGACTAAAAAGTGAAACTTTTAATTTACCAGTCTATTTATGTTCCCACTCTCACCTACAGTGGACACGATCCTGGTTATTAATGCCTGAAAGGAGCTTCATCTAGAAAATTCAGGAGCATTGCCTCTTGCCTGGAATTAACCCCTTTAACATCTCTGTTCTCAGACAGGATGTCTGTGCACAGGACATTGTGTGGCCATCCTACTCTGCAGTTCTGCAGGATGTTTTCATCCAGATCTTTACCTACTCTCACTCTGTTCACAAAGGTAACAGTCACAAAACCCAGCACGCCTCATTTCTCCCCACAGAGCGAGCTTTCTATTCTTAATAGAAAGCAACATTTCTATTAGAGATGCACCGTGACATTGGCTACTAACTGGGATCAGAAGATTATTTCTTGGCCCACTTTCACCAAACTGATTGGTGAAAGTTTGGTCAGAAACTCAAAAATCAGATTATTCTTTTCCAATCAGAAAAGAGAGTATACCTCAGCCAATCTGCCATGTCGAGCTGATTTCACCACTCTTCTATGTGGAAGGTGTTACTGAGGGAAGAAAGCCGAAGGTTTGACTCTGACGTTTAAAAACCAAGGCAGAGGAAGAACAGGTCCATTAGAGCAAAAACTGGAGCAGACACTGGTCAATTTGCTCCTTTGCCTTTTTGAAACTTTTGTGGTTTTGGTTGGTTCTTACCTGACATTTGGGCCTCCCACCTCTAGCACAGATTTCATCGAATTGGATGTGTGATTTGGTGTCCATAGAGGCTGAATGTATTAGAGCAAAGGTTCTCTGCTTAATTCTTCTATTGGCAGCTTTTTGGAAATCTTTTATCCAAGGTAAGGATCTACATCTTTATTTTTTTAATGAATAGACACAGAGACTGATGTTTTCGGTTAGTAATGCCCCTGTCAGACAGTGTAAATGTGATAATATTTAGATCATTTTGTATTTGGTTTACATAAGACTCTGTTTTACAGTCAACTCAACTGCTTACATAAAATAAATAATATTTAGATTGTTGTTAGTTATAGAACCTGGACCAGCTAAAATTGGTTCAGTATTTATAAAAACCTGAGATTGAAAAAATCCCTGATCGGTGCATCTCTAATATCTAGTTTGTTACTTCAGTGGTGTTAATATGTACATCTTTTTAGTAGTTATGTATAGACGACCTATCAACAAGAATAAATTCAAACTGACTTTTCTCTCTGTAGGATCCGTGTCCACTGTGTGATGAAGCTAAAGAGCTGCTGCAGCCTTTCAAACACAGGGTGAGACTTTTCTATCAACTTCTAGTGAGTTTCTGATGTTCTTCAAACGACATTTGGTTTTCTTTCAAATCTGTTTCAGTGGCCAGGTCACAGTAGACATGGGAGTAGGGAAGCACCAATCCACTTTTTTCACTTCCGATAGAGATATCTGAGGTTCAGCATCGGCTGGTACCAATTTGATGCAGAAGAACCAAGATTAATTGACTTAGAACATTTTTTAAACACAGGTCTTAAATGTACTGAATTACAAATGTATTTGCCAATAATGTACCAGTGCATCACACTTTAATACACAAAAACCTCACAAGCTTGGCCAATCATGTGAAGATGACTTTCCTTGGTTCAGTCAATACAGTTAGGAGTAGAACAGCCAATGGAAAACAAATGATAAAGAAACTGAAACTCACTAAACCAACAGGCTGACTACCTTAGTCAGACTTGTAAAAATATCAACACACCTTCTTTGCTTCCTTCTCATAATGTAAAAAAAAAATAAAGCATGATGTTCAGACTACAAAGCATAGAATTAGACTGAATAGATCTGCCCTTATGGGCCCTTATGGTTGGCACACAGTGTCACCGATACTGTGTGCCTGTGTAAAAACGGTGAACATAGAGAAAGCGTTGATAATTTACCATCTCGGTTTTTGTGATTGTTGTATTTTCTATATCCAATTTTTAAAAATTGGATATAGATGTTACTACAACCTATCATCTCAAGAGGTTGTATTCCATCTATTGGTTTAAGGATATCAGTGCATAAATGTTTACAAGATACATTTTAAGTGTAAAGGTTATCAGGGGATGTATGATAACCTTGTAAATATACCACAGTTCTCTTTATTTAAACAAGAAGTTAAACCAATATTCTAACATTTTGCGGTTTCAATTCAATGCAGAAAATTTCCAATTATTCCCATTTAAGACTGATTCCTTGCGGGCTGAGGAAGCAATCATAGTGGTTCCTATGAACCACATGCTGAATCTTTGAACATGCTGATGACGGGCATATTTGCGACCCCTTTAGCAAGGGTCATGACTGCATCCTCCAACTTGTAAGATCCCAGAGTTGGAGGATGCTGAGATCACCAACTTCTTACAGAGTTGATGACCGCAGACCTCCAAACTGTATAATTCAAGCAGCAAAGGTCTGTTAAGTTTCAAGGTTTTCAAAGTTAATCTGATCCCCATTTTCTTTTGTTTGACCATCATAAAAGCCATGTAATAGTCGATCACCTCTATGGTAATTATTTCCTCCCTTGGTTTCTGTTGAAGACCTGACCGTCTCTCTGTGCTTCATGTAGGTCATTCTGCAGCAGGTGGACATCAGTCTCCCAGAAAACAGGCAGTGGTGGGACAAGTACAAGTGGGACATCCCGGTGTTCCACCTGAATGGTCAGTATTTGATGAAACACGGAGTGGATGCTGCACTGCTGGACAAACTACTTCAAGATATTGAGAAGAAAAACATGTGTTGAGAATCTTTTGTATTTAAATTATTTGAGATAATGTCAATTTTAATGATCAATAAAAACAACTTCCCAATAATTCATTGGTTGTCTTCTGTCTGTCAGCTTCTTTGTGATCTAATTTTGTTATTTGGACATGTTTCCTCTTGTGGAGTTGCTCTTGTCTTAATTCATACAACAAACATCCAGTCATGAGGACATGGTGGACCTTTAACCAAGTAAAATATTCTTGCCTGTAAGATGAGAGATTTTAACCAATGAGTATATTAGGCAGAATGTAACCACCGTTTGTTGAAGGAATGAGGGTTTTGGGTGAAATTGTGACCAAGGAGGGGGATATTCCCTGTCTGGAGTGGTATTTATCAAAACTGGTCCAAGGAAGGAAGAGAAGTGAACATGGTAATTGGCCATCAAGATTCATTTAGTTAGCAAAGGCTGGCCTGTGTGTTCTGATCCTAAAGACCATCTACTGTAGTTCAAAATGTTGAACTCTAGCCAGACCAGCTAGGTTGCTCATACAGAACACTCCCACCGCTGAAACAACCACACATGAGCATCAGAAGTGGATAACTGATAAATCAGGTGTTCTCCAGGGAGTTAATCACTTACCCAGAACAAAAGACAGTAGGATGCAGTATGGGAAAAAGACTAGAGGGCATAACCAGTGATGGAATGGATGTTGTTCTGCTAGAAATCCTCGAGTCCTATGGTCCATGTTGATGCTTCTTACAGCCTAGGTATTGCTACAGTCAATGTGTGCCCATTTATAGAAATGGTATTTCTTAAAGTCTATGGTCTCCCATAGCAGGACAACGCTGCCTGCAGCAAACTAAAAATGTTTCAGGAATATTTAAGGTGAGCTCATGAAAGAGCTTGAGATTTTGATGTAAAATCCAAATTCCTCAGTTCCCAACCCAAACCAGCATCTCTGGGATGTTACAGACAAACAAGTTTGATCTGTATATTAACCTGCTGTTAATATATTGGTGTCAGATCCCACAGTACAGAGCCCTTTGGGCAGCTAACGGTTGACCAATACATCAAGAATCTCATCATCAGAAAATGATGTGGAAAAGTTACAGAGGGAAAGCCACAGCTGTCCAGTAAACCTTGTGAAGAAGCCGTTTAAAAACCATGACGTTATGTTTTACTCAAACCAGTATTCATGTTTTGGGCAGAATCAACTCCACGCAAAACTTCACCAATTTGTCAAACAAGATGAGAAATGTGTCTGAACACAACACCTGATGGCTCTGATCCAATGAGCTCGTTAATATTTAACCTGAAAGTGGAGCGGGACGGGCTCTCAGCCAATCCCAGCCCAGCTTCCTTCTGCGTGACCTGGAAGTGGTATTTCATGATGTTTTGTGGGGGGTTGCTATGGAGAAGTCTGTTTCATGTAATGGCGTCTGGCAGATACAGCAGCAGATCTGTGGATGTTCAGATTGCTTTACAGAAAGCCAAGAAGAAGATCTGTGATCTGCAGCAGCAGCTGGAGTAAGAACAAAACCCTGTCTGGTTGTTTTCATCTGTTGGCATCAAACGCTGAATATTATAGTGCTGGTGACCAAAAACTGAAGGATGACAGAAAGTCATCACTGATGATGTTTAGACATCATCAGTGATGTCTAAACATCATCAGTGTACTGATGTAGAATGTCAGCATTTTGATTGTTTTAATATGCAACAAAGCAATTATGCACTTAATGTGGCTGTAGAAAAGTGTTATTGCTCCAGCTCTGTCTCCAGCATTTCAATCAGCTTTAACTCAGAGTCTTGGTATGACGCAAGTTTGAAACCTGACTCTTTCAAATCCTGGCAGGCTTTGCCACTAATAACTAGTCAGTTCCTGCTTTGCATCATCCACAAATTAAAGTGTGATCAAATTTGCTGCTACAGCACACAGACATATACATACATGACCAACGACTGAACTGTTTTAGATTTGTTTAGTTCTTTTCTTTAGCCAGAGGTACTGGAAATCCTGGCCTGGTCTGAGATCCATATTCTAACATAATACTACGGTACTGAGATACAGAGTCAACATCCAGGAAGTACCTGGGTCCATGTGATCACTTGTATGGCATAGCTGGGGACCGGCGTCATGAACTGATTCATCCGGCAGTGGGACCAGTCTTACTGGAACGTGAACTGGTCTGACCTGTCGGTGTTTGTTCCTCACTGGGTCCAGTCTCCATGCTGGGTTGCTTTAAGGAGACAGGAATTCCATATTTGCCCATATTGCTTTACTGCCTTTCAGTCAGTCAGTTTGCCAAACCCAAGAATATTGTGAGTAGTTTGATGTAGTTGGAGGAGGTGGAAAAGGTGAGTGTGGACCATCAAGCAGTCAGGTGCTTTAAATTTTTGATTGGACCGTTTCTGAACTCACAGCGGTTGAAATATTTTCCTACAGGTATAGTTAACGTCTCTATAGTTTTTGTTTTTTTTGTTTTTACAAATGAACGTGCGACATGTTTTGTTCTGTTTTAAAATTTATGACACATACAAGTGTTGGAATTGTGATTAACTGTTATCTAATGTGTTTTCTGTTTTTGTTTGTTTTTCAGAGAAAAGAGTTTGGAGGATCCAAACGTCATCACTTCTCCATCATGGACCTCCAAGAAGGAACTCAGGGACTCGCTGGTGGATATGTACACAGGTAAATTCCCACATATTTTCTCACTGTAACTCAGCACATCTGTACTGCAGTAGTTTGTCCAGGTAGGGGCGCTGTGCTCCTTCAAACGGCATTAAGCTGACTCCACAGGCGATCTGCTGTGACTGGAACTTGGCTTTCCTCCTTTGAAATAGTTTAGTTTTAAAGTCCACTCTGAACTGTTGATGTTTCACATTTTGTCAACCTAGAATCTGTTTTAATGGAACATTCCATAATTTTGTGTGCAGTGGTTTTTAAAATCTATTTAATAATAATAATCCAAAATTTCTATTCAGCCTTTTTTTTATCTGAAACCCCACAAATCAAATGGTTCAGAGTGGTCCAGGGGTATTTCTGGTCCTTTCAGTGGTTTTTGTTGATATCAGATGTGACCGAATGATGCCGATTCAAACCTTTTAATGTTTTCGAGGAATATTTTTTATTTTTTTATTTCAGATGGAAAATATTTGGAAAGATCAGCAAAGAGTTTTCCTTTAATTTTCATTTCATTGTAAAAAGAATCACAAACGTTTACCAGCTTTTACTTAAAACACAGAGTTTGGTGCAGCATTTTATTAAATGTGACTTTATGCAGCAAGTATATTTGAAGAAAGAGGAATCATATCCAGTTGTTGATTTTGAGCCATCAGCACTTATTGCTGACCAAACTAGAAAAGAGTCGACCCCTAAAAACAAACTTGTAGGAAACAATAAGCCTTTTTTAATATGGCATAAAAGCAAGATCCCTTTTCCAAATAATGCAGTTACTTTGTTTCATTCAAATATTGCATGTTTGTTTTGATGTTAAATTCATCTGAAGTTATACTTATTAATTGACGGTTTGCTCCAAAGGACAAAAATCTCAACAATACTGACTTTATAAAATCTATCCGTAGCCTTTAGAGCTCACCTAATCAGTAAACAATGTAAATAAAGCTGTTATGTTTCTGGCCTCAGAGGTTTGTTAGAAAACATCAGGCAGTAAGCAGCACCATGGAGACCAAGCAGGCCAAGCAACAGACCAGGGATAAAGTGGAGAAGTTTAAAATAAAGTTAGAATGTAGAACAACAGGAGCTGCCTGTGCTAACTATGGATGAGCTGCAGAGATCCACTGCTCAGGTGGTGGAATCTGGAAAAACAGTCCAGATTCATGGTTTTTGGATTTTACAGCGGCAATGTGGAGAAAGCTCATTTTAGTGTGATGCAAAACTAACCCCACACAGTGACCCTGAACACACCATTGCTACAGTGACACCTAGTGGTGGCAGCAACATTCTTGGTGGACAGGAGCTTGTGCAAGTTGAGGGAAGATGAGTGTAGCCAAAATAAAGTCAATTTTCTGAACAAAATTGGGCCAGAATTCTAGTTTCTAGATGTGCAAAACCTCTAATCAGTCTGTAGCTGGACCTGCAGCGAAAGTATTGGGTGAAAATGCACACCACACTTTTCAAATTTTGTATTTATTTATTTTTTTACATTGCTTTGTTAAGTTTTGCTCAGGTTTCTTTGACCATTGCTTCTCAGTATTTCTAAATGATCTCTGTTATCAAGCATCTGCTACGCTTGAATTCCCGCTACTGGAACTGCTGCTGCTCCTGCTGGCAGCACAGTGGAATTGCAACTGCATCTCACGACTAGTTTACTGGAGTAAACCAACAGTGGGATGAATTCTGTGAGGTTGAACCCAGCTGATTTTGGCATAGCATTAGGTAGTTAATATCGGTATGAAATTTGTAATTGCAACCATGAAACACGATCCAGAAACATGACGTCTGTAGGTTAGTATAATATAATAATGTTGCCTTGTTTCTGTGAGGTAGGCAGAGCCAAGGTCACTTACATTTGTGGAAAAATTGAAGCATTTATTCTGAGTTTAACTATTAATACAATATTTAACAGCCATTTTTAGGTGTTCATAAATGCCTTTATGAATTATAAAGGCTTCAGCTGACACCTAGATTTAAACCTTTATAATACATGAGACATGGATTAAGTTTAATGAATCTGTTGGTTCATCTCATCAGCTTTAGTCTCTATTAAAATGTTATTTTCTTTAGATGCTTCAGCACCAGCTATGTAAATAATATTCAACATGTTTCTGTCTAGAAAAATCACCAAAATTGGATATTTGCATAAGCCTGATTATGAAAATTAACAGAACCTAAATGGAACCCAGCTTTAGGATGCAACTTGGTTTTAATGTCACTACAATTAAGAGAAGCAATTTATGTTTAACTTTTATTCAGAAAGAATTTTTCAAATTGGCAAAAGTAGTTGCAGTTTATTATGTTTTAGAGCTGTGAAAAGACGCTTGTAAAGAACTGACTGGAGATTTTCAGTTAATTCATAAAAATCAGCACATATTGTATATGAGTTATGCAATAACACAACCACGTGAAGAGGGTCAAGGTTGTCATTTAGGAATTTTTCAATAAGTTTGCATTTCTAGTTCAGAATTAAAAAAAAATCAAACAACTTCACTTTGAAGTTGTTTGATTTGTAGACGGTCCGGTGTACAAGTTGTCCCTGAATGCACCTTAAAGGCTGAGCTGTTGGGCTGTCCCATCTCCTCGGAGGGAATCCTGCAGACATGTCTGCTGCTGTGCTGTCGGGTTTTAAAGCTGCACAGCGGATCGCAGACCTCCACTCAGTGCTGCACATAAACATTCTGCAGCTGTTCCGCTATAAAACAAGGCTCTATCTGTTTGGCATACGCGTGTCCTGATCTAACTGGGTTTTTTCCTAAATTTTAATTAACACCAATTTATTAAAAACCTTTTTGTTCTTTTTCTATTGCAAACACAACTTCCATTTTCTCAGATAATCTGAAATCATAATGTAGGTAATTATTTCCAGTCTGGTCAGGAGCAGGGCTGCATGATATCAGGAAAATGTAAATAGCTGATCTGTGTTTTTGTCTTTCTGCTTTGAATTTATCTTTCTGTAACCTAGTTCAACTTTTCTTCTTTTTTTTTCTCCGTTATACAGTAGATAATTTAACATCCAATAGTTCAATAACTTTTTTATTATTGACAAAATTTCACGTCAACTTTATATATGTAGCAGATTTTAGCAGTAAATCAGTTCATAGTGCTCTACATAATAAAAATGTAACACAGTGAACAATAAAAAAAATCTTTTTATCATATTTGAAAAGAAGAGGTAATGAAAGGATTTTTTTTTCAATTCTTCTTGATCAAAGACAACGCTAAACAAATGGGTTTTTAGTCTAGATTTAAAGGTACTCAGTATTCCAGCTGTTTTGCAGTTTTCTGAAAGTTTGTTCCAGAGTTGTGCTGCATAAAAGCTGAATGCTGCTTCTCCATGTTTGGGTCTGGATACAGAGCAGAACCAGAAGACCTGAGAGGCTCTGGCAGGTTGATGCAACTACAGCAGATCTGTAATATATTGTGGTGCTAAGCTGTTTATTGATTTATAAACTAACAACGATATTTAAAAGTCTATTCTGTCAGTGGTCTCAGTCTTCCTGGTTTTAGTCAGAACACCAGCAGCAACATTCTGATTGACTCTTTTTTTTCAGGTAGACCTATAAAGACACTGTTGCAGTCAGTAATCAATGTGACTAAAGATAAACACATGGATGGGTTTCTCCAGATCGCGCTGACATTAATCCTTTAATCCTACAAATGTTCTTCAGTTGACAGAAGGCCGACTTTGTAACTGCCTCTATATGTCTCTGAATGTTCAGGTTCAGGTTGTAGTCAATCAATACACCCAAATTTCAGCATGATCTCTAGTTTTTAGCTGTAATAACTGAAACTCTCCGTTGACGTAGATTGTTCCTCTTTAGGTCCAAAGATAGCTTCATTTTTATTTCTGTTCAGCTGAAAAAATTCAGTTTGGATGGCTTCATAATCCAGAGCTGTGTCTCATATGCATAGTTATGGTAACTAAACTTATTTCCAGTTATAATCTAAGATAGTAGGAGCTTATAGATATTAAATAAGAGGAGTCCTAGATTTGAAACTTAGGAACCCCATTTGTGACTTCTGTCTGCTGTGATGAAAAGTTATCAGTTGAAACAAAGAAATTTTCGTCCTTTGGGTTAGACTTGAATTGGTCCATTACTGTACCAACAGACTAGCCCAGCTCTCCAATCACAAATAAAATCAAAGTGCAGTGAGTCAAAATAGGACATTCTGCATGGAGGACAATGAAGTCTTAGTTATTGAATGGATCTATTGCCTCAGCCTGATATTGATCCAAGAAGACCAAATGTTACCATATCCAATGACCATATTTGATCAGGTTGATCCCAGTTCTAATATAAAGGACATGTACGAATCAAAGATAATGACAAAATTTTTCAAACGGCATATTAGTATGAGAGTGAGAGGTTCAACAAATAGTTCCTATAGTGTTCAGAAACATTCCACCAAAAATGAAGTCTAATCCGAAACAAACCAGGTGCCAGCTTTAAAAGTGTAGGACCTTTGAGCTGGGCTCTATCAAAGGTTCTTTTCCCAGAAAGCACAGACACATGTGAACATGCACACACGTGAACACACACACACCCGCACATGCACAGTGTGTTTAAGAGCTTTAATTTATTGACTAAAGCAGACTGAAGAGTGAATAAGAGGAGAGAGAGGGGAGACGATTGTATGAACAGTCTTTAATCTGCTAAGTGGGTGGTCTACAAATACAAACACACACACACACACACACACACACACACACACACACACATTCGTATTTCTACCCATATAAGGACTTTGTATTGGCTTCCTTTTATTTTACTAACTGCATTGATGTCTAACCCAAATGCCTCCACTCACCCTCCACATTAGTTTGTTTGTAATCTTAACCAAAACTTTAATCCACAGCGTACCTGTAAACTTAACCGCTAACTCTAAATTGTCTTCATGCACTCACACACACACGCATGCACACACACCTACACACACACGGACACATGCAATCCCTAATGCCAAAACAGCATTTCCCTTCATGGGGACCAAGAAAATGTCCCCACAAGGAG